CGACCGCTGTGGTGTTATCTGATTCGATGCGGATGTGTTGATTTCGAGTTGCATGAAGCAGTGACCGTAGACCAAATTTTATGGCTAACAGTTCTAAAACATTTATGTGAATTACAGCTTCTTGTGCGGACCAAAGTCCCTGTGTTGTGTTGTGTTTGTGCCAACTATAGCACCCCAACCTAGATGGGAAGCGTCAGTTGACATAACAATTTTAGGTATACCATGATCGATAGTTCGCGACGCTGTCGGAAGGGAGGAGACCCACCAATTTAGTTCATCAATACTAGCTTGTGATAAACAGGTTTTGGCATCAAAATCCCCTTTAGATTGTTTTAATGCTAAATCTTTGTCACGCTCGAGCCCCCTGTAATATAGAGGGCCCAATTCAACTCCTGGAAACGTAGAGACCAGAGTACCAATGAGGGAGGCTAATTCTCGTATAGTAGACCGTTTTGCTCGTAAAAATTGCAAACATGTAGCTATGATTTTTGTAATTTTCTTTTCTGGGAGAGAAACCGTCATAGTAAGCGAATTTAACAAAAATCCCAAAAATTCCAAACTTTGGGTTGGCTGAAAAACTGATTTGGTAGGGTGTGGCACGAACCCCAATTGGACAAACAAATTAGTGGCATTAAACGTAGCATCTTGGCATGATTGAACAGTGTCCTCGAGATAAATGGAGTCATCAATATAACCTAGGCACGAGTGGCCATATTGTGATCGTAAAGTTGCAAACACAGGCTTCAGAACTTTGGTGAAAATGCGCGGGCTACTCGTTAGTCCCATTGGTAACGCTGTAAACTGATAAAGTACTCCGCGCCAGCAAAACTTAAGATATTTTCTATCTGCTGGTATAACTGGGATAGAATAGTATGCGTCTTTCAGATCAATAGTCGTCATGAAGCAGCCAGGTTTCATCATTTTCACAGCAGTTTCTAATGTGTCCATTTTAAACTTTCGGTAAGTAACAGCTTCGTTAAGTTTCTTAAGATTAAAAATCACTCGAAATTTGCCTGATTCCTTTTTTGGTCGAATGAAAATAGGTGAAATAACCTCACCAGGCTCATGTGTTGTATGTTCAATAACATGTTTGGATAAAAACTCGGTAACTTCTTTATCAACAGCATGTTGTTCCGGTTGTGATAATTTATATTCCAAATTAAAGCTATGTCTTGTTGAGGATGGTTCATAATCAAACTCAATTTTATAATTAGTCACACAACTTAATACAAACGGGTCTGAAGTAATTCTTTCCCAATATTCAAGATGGGATCTTAGTTGCCCAGCCATAAAAGGTATGGTTGTTTGTTAATCAATTCATTTATGCGATTAATATAACTGACCTGTTGTGGAGTAGATGAAACTAATTTGGTGGAGGTCTTGTCTGGTTGGAACTGAACTTCGCCCCTGGCCTTCGACGGTGGGAGCCTCTGTCCCCGAAAAAAGACTGTAGTGTAGATAACCGGTGACTTGATCCTTTACTGGCATTGCTTCGCATTAATGTTGCGCTGCTTGATCCTCGTGATTGAAATCGTGCATAAGGATGATATCCTCGTCCCCGCGTCCTCTGTGAGAACTGGAAAGCTTACTGCCAAGTTTATTGGCTTTTGCGACTTCATCAATCTCTTTCCCGATGTCATCTCCAAACAGCTCACTCGTTATAGGTGTCGTAGGGTTACAGAGCGATCCATATTGTGTATTCAGGTCAGGCCGTAACAAGTCTCGACGTTTAAGATTTAATTCTCTGTTGCCCGACAAGGCGAGAACGAGGGCATGGGTTAGAATCGTTCTAACCTCCCCGGTTGACTTTCCACAAGCTTGAATAATAGCATAAATGCAGGACATAAATAATTTCTGACACTTTTGCATGGAGCTATCCGCTGTTTTAGTCCCTTGCTTAAGCTGGTGCCAAATAACTTTGTTAACTTTTGGCGTTACAAGCAACTGACAGTTATCTGGTCGAAGATACCTCTCCGCTGTAGAAAATTCAGCTGCCAATTCGTCAAACGAGCTCACTGTGTCTTCAGTAGCATCAGTCGTTTGGAGTTCAGTCGAGTGTGACTCATTAATTGTCTCCTCACTTTCATCGCACACTTCATCGCCGACGACATACTGTTCGAATTGCTTGAAAATATCGTCTTTCATTTGAGCCATCATTTCCGACATCATGTTGGCCATAGACTCCTGCAACTCGTTGGGCATGAAAGCTTTTGGTGTTGGTTGCCCGTCCGGTATACAAGTTTCGCCGGAAGAGGTTTCCATCACTGAAAACCGAAAAAATATATCACTGATATCCTGAAATGATTCGTCACACATGACTAATATCAAGTCATGCTATATAACCTATGTAAAGGGGAAACGATAACTTTCTTTCCCGTGAGGTTATAACTGGGAAACTATAAATTTCTTTCCCGTGCATGTGGCATTGCCTAAGGTTGACCTAAATGAAACTATGACTTTCTTTCCCACGGCCTTCAGCAAAAGCCGAATATGAGTGAGGGTATAAAACACTCAACTGCATATGGCCGTTAACAGGCTGATAAAGTGGCGATAATGAATGCCAATGGTTCTGTATTTATCAACTCGTTAGATCTAAAAGGGGTAATAACAGTATTAGTAAAAAATAACGCAAGAAAATAGTGCAAACATTTACCTATAATATTCCAAAAGATATCCAAAGTTCCAGTCAAAAAACGTCCTAACAGCACGACTACACAACTGGTACTGACTCACGACAACACACCGCGTGCATCTCATGTTAACCGGAAGTACGTAACTACGATTTGGTAGAATTCTCAATCAAACCAAAGTGCGTTTACGATATTGAAGATTGTTGAAGTTGATAAAGCTATTATCCACCAGCAATCTTATGTGAAATATTTCAAAAGCGAAATGGAATATTGTGCTGGTTAGAGGCAATGGCACTACTGGAAAGAACTGTTACCAGTGGGATAAGGAAAGAGTGCATGATGCATGGTTATAAATTTATAGTGCATGGTAGGCGTTCAGGCAATTCAGACTCGTATCATTTGTATTGTTCAACAAAACGCCAATTCTGGCGGTAACTGCGTCGCGCCAATCGTTGCATGCAACTGTGCCCCATTTCCTGTCAATATTTATTCCTTTAGAAAAATGTTTCTTTCTTAGGGTTTCTAGTAAATAGAGCACTTCGTACAGAATATAGGGGTAAAACTGCATTATTGGTGCTACTGAGGCAGATGTAGCTAACGATATACGTGAATAAGGCTGAGTTTGGAATCATGTACTCTAGGAATCTGTTTGTACTGAAATTCAATAGGATCGTTTTTACCATTGAAAGGAAGGTGCGGTTTGATTGAAGAATGGCATAGAATGGCATACAAGGCTTTCATAGCATACAAGGCTTTCATGGCATACAAGGCTTTCATGATTCATGTGATCGTTGTCTGTAAACCCGTTTTAGTGTAGGTTTACCATGATCAGGGTGTGCTAGTGTATGCAGAGTGAGCATATTAAACAAGACAAGGCGAGAATCCAGGCATTATGATTACCTGTACGTAATTTCTCTTACGACAGACGTCTAGATTTCCTGCGCTATCCGCCATACACAGCGACTCGTGTACGTGTTATTTTATATGACGTGTGTCGTGCATGCAGTTTCCTGCTTTTGGTTCGCATCCCGGCGACAGCAAACTTTTTCAATTTTTTGTTTCAGTAAAATATTTCTTTTGTGGGGGTTACCAGGCTTAGATTGCTATTTGAAGTGTGTTTAGCACGAAAATATTTCGATACGAAATCAGACGAGTTCAAAATACCAGTATCTTAGTTGGCCTGCGCAGCCAGGAAGACCGGGTCGAAAACGTAAAAAACACGAAAAAAAACAACACCGACGGCAAGCGATGATTGGGTGGGTTAACGTTACAATCAGAATTTGTTCTTTCCAGGTTTTATATCTACATTTCAGTTCATCTGTCCGTTATCCTTTTCGAGATTTTACCATGTAGTGGAATCATCGCTTTGAAGATTTGAGAAGGTACGTTTCTGTCAGTGTTGGTTACGTTCTTCGAATATTAACAGTATGAGTGTTATTGTATTCTATTGAGTGGCATAGTACAGAGCTTGGACGTCATTACGTTTTTCGAATATTAACAGTATGAGTGTCTATTGTATTCTATTGAGTGGCACAGTACAGAGCTGTGACGTCATTACGTTCTTCGAATATTAACAGTATGAGTGTCTATTGTATTCTATTGAGTGGCACAGTACACAGCTGTGACGTCATGTTAAATGAAGCGGTAACTAACATAGAAATAATTCATAACACAATTGCGAGGCTCTGGGGCTAAAACCTGACAATAATCAAACACTAAACAACAAATAAGGCAGGTTAGTTGTTCTGAGACTAAGGATCGATCGATACAGTTTTATTTTGATAGACTCGATCCTTATATTTTAACAGACTAGATCCCTGAGCGCCTAATAGTACTGCATTGACTTACAAAAATATAATAATCCAGCTTAACTGATTACATGCTGAGGAGGCACAGCCACTAGTCTGAGAAGAGAACTGTTTTATGAAGTGTTATTTGTAAAAATAAATGATCGAGAGTCGGCTGAAACAGCTTTTAAATTTATAAAAAGACTTGAACGACAGTTTATATAACTACAGTTTAAACTAGTTATTAAAATGTTTGGTATAAGTTATATATACATTCCTAATGATACCTACTTTTTGTTTATTTGCGAAAATCGTGTGTATTTCAGCTCTAGGGCTGCGAAGTGATTTGTTTTAGTAAACAGTGATAATAATATTAACTCTATCAAACAAAATTGGGGGTCTGTATACGATCTGAAATACAATATAGTCTCCCGCTTCGTGGTCGTGCGATTTTTGTAATGACGCATGAGCACTCCACTCAGTGCAATTACCATTATAAATACGCATCCCACGTGACACTCACATGACATTCTAGCTGCTGTTTGGGTGGGTTAAAGTTACAATCAGAATTTGTTCTTTCTAGGTTTTAAATCTACATTTCAGTCCATCTGTCCGTTGTCCTTTCCGAGATTTTACCATGTAGTGGAATCATCGCTTTGAAGATTTGAGAAGGTACGTTTGTGTCAGTGTTGGTTACGTTCTTCGAATATTAACAGTATGAGTGTCTATTGTATTCTATTGAGTGGCATAGTACAGAGCTGTGACGTCATGTTAAATGAACTGGTAACCAATATAGAAATAATTCATAACACGATTGCGAGGCTCAGGGGCTAAAACCTGACAATAATCAAACACTAAACAGCAAATAAAGCAGATTAGTTGTTCTGAGACTAAGGATCGATCAATACAGTTTTATTTTAATAGTTGTTCTGAGACTAATGATCGAGAGTCGGCTGAAACAGCTTTTAAATTTATAAAAAGACTTGAACGACAGTTTACAATCGGAAATGAAAAAATCGTGTAGCAATAGATTTTAAATACGAGAGATATTTTCATAAATTATTTGGCATCAAAATACATTCAGCTCATACTATGTCTGTAAATGAGAACAGGTTTTCAAAATTTATAATATCAAGAAAAATCTCATTTCCTCACACAAATAAGACAGACGGAATGTTTATGAAAATTCTAAAATTAAGTTCATGTGAGTTTGTCATATGGGTGGTACGAAGTCAGAAATGTTACTCCTAAAACATATGTCTCTTCCCAAAATCATTTTAACAAGAAATCCCTTCGTTTAACAAGATCCTTGCGACTTTCTTTTATGACAGAATGTCATAAAATATGCGAAAATCTACTCCATCCCATTCTTTTTCTCGGTGTAGCCTATATAATTAGTACAACCATTTTGTTACAGTAATTCGCACTGTCTAATGCCATGGCTTCTAACGAGCTGGAAGAAAACGCAAATTTTATAAGACTCAGTAAACTTTTAGTTGACAAAGGAACTGAGGCTTTGAGAAATACATTTGACGCCATCCATCCAGCTGTTAGTTTACCCAGAGTTCTGGCAGCAAACAAAACATCTCTTCAAAAGTTAAAACCTCGAGTTATTAATAATTCCCAGTGGGATTTACTGTTTCCTCCGTCTGGCAACCCGCCAGATTCCAAAACCTTTGATATCACATTACTTACAGTTCTATTCCGGAACATTTGTGGTTTTCCATCAACAGGATGGGATGTAATGCCTCCGGATACTGATAGATCAACGCAGGCGAATATCACAAGAATCAAGTGTTACAGAAATGATGTTTTTGCACATGTACCATCCACTAGAGTTCACAATTCAACATTTGAGTCTTTATGGAAGAAAATTGCGCAGGCGATAGTAGAATTGGGCGTTTCACAGAGTGATGTCGATGATTTAAAAAAATGTCCTCTTGGGCCTGAAGAAGAAGTGTATGTGCAAAAGCTTAAAGATTGGAAACTGCACGAAGATGAGTGTATTAAAATGCTTGCAACAATGACACAAATCGTTGAAGAAACCCGCGACGGAGTAAATCTACTATGCCAGTTTTTGTTGAAGAAAAGTGAGAATGAGATCCCGCAAACTTCCCTCAAGGGCACGCTATCAATACCCGAGGATGCCAATACTGAAAAAGAATTCTGCAAGGAGAGTGGTGAAGATGTATTACGAAAACTTGCCAAACATAATTTCAAGAGTAAAATTCGAAGAAAAGTTAAATTTTTCCTACCTGGAACGAGAGAGTGGTTGTTAAAAGAAGTTGACGAGTGGTTTTGTAGCAGTGATAGTGATTCAAGAATAAAGTTAATAACCGCTGGACCAGGATTTGGTAAAAGCGTGTTTGCCGCTAAAATCTGTGAAGATTTTGAGAAGAATGGAAAGCTGGCTGCTTGTCACTTTTGTGATTTCAGTGATTCAAACCTAAGAGATCCTATGGTGATGCTGCAGTCTCTCGCAAGTCAGATGTGTAAGAGCGTCCCTGGCTTTAAAAATGAGCTCCTTGATCAGTTAAAGCGACCTCATCAAGTCAAAAACCTCAGAGATGGTTTTCGAATATATTTACAAAATCCATTGGATCAATTGGAAATAAAAGAGCAACGTTTAGTCGTGATCGATGGCTTGGATGAAAGTGCTGCTGATAATAAAAATGAAATTACTCATTTGATTGCTGAATATTTTCCTGATCTTCCCGAGAAAATCAAAATCTTGGTGACGAGCAGGCCAGAGATTTCCGTTGCTGATCTAAGACTAAGAGACGACCAAAAGACGAACATTGCGAATGTTAACGCCAACAATAACTCAGATCTTGAACTTTATTTTAAAGAATGTCTTCCAAGTTTAGTTGGCAGGGAAGTTAATCAAAGTGAAGTGACCCGTGATTTGTATGAGAATCCATATCTTCAATTTTTTTTGCAAAATAAAACTATTTGTTTACTTTCCATTTTTGTTGCCAAATGCCAGGGCTCATTTCTCTATGCATATCACTTTCAGTCTGGGCTAAAAGCTCGCTATGATCTTGAGAAGATAACAAATAATGACGTCATGGAGTTTCTCCCAGAAGGACTGCATTCTGTTTACGAACGATATTTTAAACGCCTTGAAGACGAGCTTAGCGACATAAAACATGAAAAGTTTGATGTGTTCAAAATTTTGGAAATGCTGCCTGCTTCCGAAAAATATCTTCCCCTCACTTTCGTCGCTCAGGCTTTTGGTTTAGCTCCAGATTGTCGCGAAACGAAAGACATCATCAACAAAATTAATGATGCCGTATCGTGCTTGTTGTATGTTTCAGATGACATGTTAACCGTTTTTCACAAGTCTGTTATCGATTGGCTTCTAGCAAAGGGCTATAAAGATCACCAGTATACTGTCAAGGTTGATGATGGACATAGATCGCTTTGGCTTTTATGCGAGAAAATTTTTGAAGAAATTGAAGATGTACCTGCTCGCTCAGGACTTGAGTTGTACTTTACTAATGACGTGGAATACGCTCTGAAACATGGTTTAAAACATCTAGAAAAGTGTAAAATAGAGGAAGGTGTGTTTTGGTCAGTTTATATTAATATCGTATGTTATATGTTAATTGTAATCGATCCAAGTGAATTGCTGCGTTTCTGGCTCACATCACTCCAAAGTTCTTGGATTAAAAACGAAGATTTACTCGCCTGCATTTCGTACCATGTCATTGAATTTGATTCTTTCCTAAACTCCCTGTTTCACATAATGGAACATTACAAATATTCAAAACGATATAAGTCGACATTATCTTTACAATGGTATTTACAAGCGGTTCTTACCCGTTCTCCAGAAGGTTATTTCAGCGATGATGAGAAGGAAATCGCGGAGACGCTACTATCAAACCTTTCACCTTTTGTTGAGTCGAATTCTTACGAAGTTCCGATTTTGCCGCAGGCAGTCTGGAAAAAACACATTGACTTTTGTCCTATTACAGCTGTTGCTTTATCTAACGATGGAAAAAGTGTAGCAGTTGCAGTAGAGAATTTTATCCATGTGATATCCCTACCAACTTTATTGGAAATTATGAGTTATTCAACAAAATCGGGAGAAATTCCTGGCTGCACATTTTCTCCAGACGATTCGCTCATATTATTTGGTAAACTGGAAACGGCGTTTAACATTGCTGGAAGAAAGGAAGTTCCATTTTTCCGTGGAAATGAAGAGACGTTCCTGTCCTGTGCATTTTCCCCTAACGGCAAAAGACTGGTGACTAGCGACGGTTCAAACACCATTAAACTATGGGACGTTGCTAAACAAAAAATGCTGTCGTCGCTTTTTGCTGGATTTCCTGTTGATTGGTGTTCTTTTAGCGCGACAGGGTTATTTATTATTGGAAATTCAGATTTTCGATCTTATTGGGGTTCCTTTTGTGTTTGGAACGCCATCACATTGCAAAGAAGTGATAAGCGAAAATTATTTTACAGGGGAAAGGTTGTGTTAAAGAGAAGGAAATGTGAACGATGTTTTCAGTGGGGATTTGAGGAACCAAATTCTAAACACTTAGAAACAAGGAAAAGTCGGACTAAATATTATAATATAATTTCGTGTCCGTGGATCTGCAAAGGTGTGAAGTGTATTTTTTCTTCGACTGAATATTGTTATTCGACTGTCACAGAAACTATTCCCTTTACTGCGATTGTTGCTTGGAACTATATTGCTGAAGCTCCTCCACAGAATTTTTTTTGTCAACTTAAAATGACACTTTTAGGAGATAATCTGTGGCTCTATTCAGATGATGAAAAACTAATTGTCTTTAAGACATTATTAGCTCCTACACAAGAGCAATCCTGTCTGTCACAGCCAACGGATGTTTATTCGAGTTCGTTTTCTCCTGACGGCTCTCGACTTGCATCCTGCAACTCAGATGGATATATCAACGTATGGAATGTCTATACCAGCCAAGTTGAACAACGTTTCAAAATCAGTCAATGCGGGTCAAGGTTTTTATGCTGGTGGTCGGAAGATTTCTTGTTTGTGATTAGTGAATTTATTGACGAGATTCCCAAATTAACGCGATACCCGGTATATGACAATCTAAAGATCTTGTTTACTCACAGTCAGGACGTGGCGCTAGACGTCTTGTCTCATTTCAGTCATTCTGAGCTGATTGGTTTTTCTGAAGGCTTTTTCAGTTTGGCTCTTGAGTGGGATGAAACCGTGAAAGTTCTCGATGTCAGAGATGTTGATGGTCCTGTAATGATCAATTTACCTGGAATTGAGCCTAAGATGAAAGTAGAAATCTCGCCTGGTGGTACCTTTATCTCTGGTTGCAATGAGAATAATTGTTATATTTGGAAAAAAAATACCGAAAACCCAACTTCATATGAAGTCTTTTATCACTATAACCCTGAAAGGTCTGGCAGATTGCCTGATGTCGTAATTTTCAGTAATGATTCCAAAGTCGCAATAGTCATGAACTGGACTTTTGGTGCGAGTCAGATAATTGATCTGGACACTGGTAATTCTCAAAATATAATTCCTGCATTCCACCCCCTTACTTATTTGAGGTCATTTTGTATTCACAAGAGAAAAATTGTATTAACTGTATCTGAGCCCGTGATAATATTTCATGACATAGACTCTGGCGAGATTCTCGACGCTTCCTATCAACCATACTTGAAGACTTTTATGCCAAGCCAAACAATTCAACTTTCCCCAAAAGAAGACGTGCTGGCTTTTCCTGGCAACAAAGGCGATATGGTGTTTGTTCGACTGTCTATTCAACCAAATCCTCGGTTGAACCTCATTCAGCGAAGTGCAGATGACTCGTGGGACGATTTTGAGCAAGTTAATGTAGTCAATCCTTTCTTTTGGGATCTTTATTCCGCAATAAAGTCGTCTTGCTGAAAAAAGTTTTAACTGCTTTTAGGAAAATCTACACAAACTGTATATTTTGTTACATGTTGGGTTTCCCCGCAAGTTTTTTATACCAATTAAATGCGAATATCTTTTTTCTTAAAAATAACTGAAGTGAACCCGTTCACACGAGGACGAAAACCAATAGTAGAAGATTTAGTTGATAAAGACTTGATTTTTCGGTTAGGATATTTTATAATGGATTTAGCGAACAATAGCATAAAAAACTATCATCAAGAACATTGTTTTCGGGCAACGGCTAGACTTTGCTTGGAGCTGGTCTAGAATGGAGAAGTAAGACACCTCCTTCCCTCCGTTTGTCTGGGAGTTCACCTTGGGCAAGTGATAGCACTCCCTTGCCTCCCTAACTGGGGTTACAGTTTGTTAAACAAAGATGATATCTTGAATACATCTGCAGGAAACAAGTCCTGAAACAAACCAGTTGTATGATGGTGTTGTTTAAGATGTTCATTATAGTAGTTACAGTCATGTTGATGGTGATAGTTCTTATTTATGATGGTGGTGAGGGTGCTGGTCTCTACGATGGTGCTCATGGTAATTGCGCTGGTTGTGAAAAATGGTATTATTATAATAATTAATAGTAACTGTGTTATGGTCAAAACGTCTGATGCTGATGAAAAAGAAAGATATGAGAACTACAAGAACTGTGTACATAACAGGGACATTTTTAGCTGGGAAGGAAGATATTTAAAGTCTTGAGCGGGAACTGGAAAATTGTAAAAACTTGCGTGAAATGTGAATAGAATTATGATCAAGACATCTGATGTTCATGAAAAAGAAGGTCACGAAAAAACACAACAATTAATATCTTAGACGTGTTTCAAAAGTCGGTTTTTATATCTTTAATGCGTTCGACATTGCGAATTTAGAAATACTGCCAGCATGTAATTTGTATAGATTTGTAATTTTGTAAACCATTTCATGATTTCACTTTGTTGACTGTTGTTGAAATTCTTATATTGATGTTTGTCTTACATCCCTAAAGTTGTCTTGTGTGATATCAACTTGGAGGTAATTATATCAAATACCAGGGTTGTTAAAAACTAATAGGATGACTCTACTTGGCTACGTTACTAATCCAACCCTGCCATGAACAATATTCATCTTGAGACTGGATCAAAACATGGTCTGAGTAAACTTGATATTTGTATCTTTTTTTGTGAACGTTTATGAAAATTTTTGCAAATTGAAGAAAAAATGATTTTTGTTTTCTGCCAGCATCGGACCGTAGATCAGTTAACTTTATAAATGTATTTTGTGAGCTAGTTTGAGGCTGGGATAAGTACTAAAATGCTGAAGATAAGAAGGAGTCTCCTTTTCAGGCAAGATACATTTTGTGTTCTCAAATTACACCCGTGATATATTCAAAATCGTCCAGGGATCGCTGAGGGAGGAGAGGGGGTGGATAGTTTTATGTTTTGAAAGTTTTCCTCTAGACTGCAACAGTGGCTCTGACTGATTTGAATTTTCCTATTGTGGTCATTCCTCTCCAAGAATTCCAGCAATGTCGAAACAATTGGGAAAAATGTGGTTCTTCCAATCACTTTTCACTGCGTTCCTACGGTACCAGATCCGCTGGTCACGAAATCTTTGTTTGCCCTTAAAGCCTGATTCTCAGGAGAACGCCTGTTTTGTGAGTCAAATGAGTCTATGAGTTGTGAGTCAATGAGTTATGAGTCAGCTCAAGTCAGCTGGATTTTTCGAACTTTTTCCAAAGCATGGTTATATTGTTTAATGTTTGTATATGAGCGCAAAACATGCTAAAAAACTTTACATTGGACAAGCATTTGACCATTAAAACAGCGTGGTTATCCATTTCAAAATATTTGACATCATAACCAAAGCATGGTTATATTGTTTATTGTTTGTATATGAGCGCCAAGCATGCTGGAAACTTTAGATTGGACAAGCATTTGACCATTAAAAAAGCGTGGTTATCCATTTCGAAATATTTGATATTATAACCGAAGCATGGTTAATGTTTGTTACGAACGCGAAACTTGCTGGAAACTTTACATAGGACAAGCATTTGACTATTAAAACAGCGTGGTTATCCATTCCAAAAAATTTGACATAACCAAAGCATGGTTATATTGTTTAATGTTTGTATATGAGCGCCAAGCATGCTGGAAACTTTAGATTGGACAAGCATTTGACCATTAAAAAAGCGTGGTTATCCATTTCAAAATATTTGATATTATAACCGAAGCATGGTTAATGTTTGTTACGAACGCGAAACTTGCTGGAAACTTTACATAGGACAAGCATTTGACTATTAAAACAGCGTGGTTATCCATTCCAAAAAATTTGACATAACCAAAGCATGGTTATATTGTTTAATGTTTGTATATGAGCGCCAAGCATGCTGGAAACTTTACATTGGACAAGCATTTGACCATTAAAAAAGCGTGGTTATCCATTTCAAAAAACTTGACATCATAACCACTGAAGCATGGTTATATTGTTTAATGTTTGTATATGAGCGCCAAAAATGCTGGAAACTTTACATTGGACAAGCATTTGACCATTAAAAAAGCGTGGTTATCCATTTCAAAATATTTGACATCATTACGAAAGCATGGTTATATTGTTTAATGTTTGTATATGAGCGCCAAACATGGTGGAAACTTTACATAGGACAAG